TAAATTGACATCAGACAATGAGCTCAGCTCTGATGATGATGCAGTCGCACTGATTATGGAGGTGCCCGTGGAGACAGCACAACACCTTGGAGTGGTATACCAATGTGGAGGTCCAGGGGAGTACTTGATATACCCAACGGATTTGGAAAGCTCTGATTATGTTAGTATTGATTGGATGACCAAGTATGATGTGCATTATGTTAGTGCCTTGGATATAGGATTCAGTACTTCGCATATGTCGGACTTACTGATTTATTTTCAACCAGCGTGGGAATTGAAACAAAACATTGCCATTGCACCTTTATGTCAAACTATTAACTTAGCGACTACAGCAGAGCCTCAGACAATTAAGGTCTATCTATAAAGGTATTAAGAAGTAGGAGTTGACTTGTTGGATAGAATTTTTCTTGCATCATAAGTTCGCTTTTGCTTAGACTTATACTGATTTAAAGGGTATTTTCGAGGACGTTTGTGAGCATCATATCATTTTAGAGGAGAACACTAAACCGGTATAACAAAGGCAACATCGCCTTAATCCTAAATATTTCCTCATGGTGAAGGAGGAATTGGACAAGCTTCTTACAGCTGATTTTATTTACTCAATACCGAATAGTGAGTGGTTTTCTCCAATTATGATGGTACTGAAAAAGAATGGAAAAATCCAAATTTGTCAGGATTTCCAGGAACTTAATACGGCCACTAAGAAAGATTATTTCTCATTACCTTTCACAGACAATATGGGTAACATGTTGTTAGTATTGCTAGGTAGTAAGAGAATAGGAGTGGGGCACCAGTTAAAGTCATTCTGAGGTGTTGTTTTGGATTGGCTAGAGTGACATTTTCTTGTATTTTATGTATTTTTTAGAGGAATAGTTCTAGTTAAGAGTTAAAAATGAGGAGCCAATCTCAAGTGTCGATTGAAGATATTCGAGAATGGATAAGTCAGCAGCAGTAACAATTGAAACTTCAGGATGTCTAGATCTTGAAATTGCAAGCTCAAGTCCGTAAATTGGGAGAATATAGTGAAGATCTCTTAAACCAGTTGAAGAAGGAGTCGATGGACGGACTGAAGGAGGAAGAAGAAGATTTGCAATTGGAACCAGATTTGGTGGATCGCACATTCGATAATGTAGCAAATGATCAATTGGATGGTAAGCCAACGCCATTGACTAAAGAAGCCAATGCTGCTATGTCTTTATAAGTTGAGGCTAAATGATGTTTGTGAGGACGTTGCATAATTAGGAGTAGGACTATGTAGAATAGGCAAATAAATTTTGTAGTAAGTTACTGGTTGGTTATTGATAACCTTGAGAATTAGACTGATGATTAGGTAATTTAGTTGATAACAGTACGTTGTTAGTGGAATAAATGGTTAAGAATTCAAAGGGTCATAACCTTTGAAGTTCGCTGGCCGACAAATCATCTTTTTGATAGGATAAAGAGGATGAGAGTTGTAAACCAGGAGCCAAACTGTGAGAGTCATAAGTCGAGAGCCAGATTGTGAGAGTTGTAAGCCGAGAGCCAGACTGTGAGAGTCGTAAGCCGAGAGCCAAACTGTGAGAGTTGTAAGTTGAGAGCTAGACTGTGAGAGTCGTAAGTCGGGTTTAAGCTTGGTCCTACCTCTTTGTTTCTTTTGTTGTTGAAGAGTAATGAATAGCTTTCGAATATTCAAAAGTGAGTCTGTGGAATAAATCAAAGATTGATTTATGAGTTATTGATTAGGTAATTGGAGTACTGAGTGATTGAATTATATGAGAAGTTATTGGAAGATTGATTATGGTTGGAAGATTATGATTGTTGTTTATTGAGAGTTGTGTGTGTATTTTGACAGAGGAAGTCTGTGATTACAAAAATTTTGTAAATCCAGATTGATTGGAGTGAAGTCAATTATTTTTGGTGTTGGATGGAATTTATGAATTATGAGCAGTCTTTTAAGAGTGCAAGGTTGCACACTGTTGTTATGAGTTGATGAAGGAGTATTTTTATTGGGAGGAAGCATTGTAGTGTTTCTTGGTGTTTTAGTGGTTCGGATTACTGTTAATTGAGTGACCCTAACTTGTAAGCTCATGCACTTAGTCTTTCCCTGAGTTTGAATTCCCTTATACAGATTTATTGTGAAAGGAATTTATAAAATAAGTAAAACGATAATCACAATATGATTTGTACATTTAATCAATATTAATATATATAAAATTTTTATGGCTAGTTTGATAGATAATGTATATTAACTCTAACTGTTAAAATGAGCTATACAAGAATGTCAAGTTTTTACTAGCTCATTTATAAATGATGTTGTATTGGTAACTTCTATCACATTATCTCTTGTTATTAAGTAATATAGATCAATTTTAGAATTTCTAATGTCTTTTGTTACTACTTTGTTAGATTTTTTATTAAATAGAATACCTCTAATAACATCAAAGTAGGCAATGTAATTCAAATCTATAAACAAGCATACAATGATTTAATTCTTAAAAATTTTAAAAATTTATATAATTCTAAATATCTTTTTTTACTAAACCAATTGCTAGCTAAAAGGTTACAACATCGTTTCCAACAATGGAATTTATTTGAACTCTTATTGATCTAATATTTTTTTTAACAATATATTTTAGGCTATCAAAATGATTCTTTTGTCCTAAAATGTATTTACTTACTCAAGTGTTTGAGTGCCAATCAAAATCATCACTTTTGATGTCAAGTGCTACAATCGTAGCATTAAATATGAATCCATTCTCTGCTAGATTTATATCTATATTTTGATTTGTTAAATTTTCTTTATATTTTTAAATATGTATTTTATTTTTGATGATATAAGCTTGATTTAATCTTTTTTGTTGTAATTTCATTCTTCTATCTGCTTTTAGTTTACAAATGTCAAAAAGTCTCTTTGAGTGCATTCAAATCCAATGATTTGATGTTCTATAGTAGTTACATAATCTAACTCCTTGCATTGAGGTAATTCTAGATCATGGATTTATTTGTAATGCTCCAACGATTCATTTTTGAGGCTGATTTTTACATTGACTTGTATAAAAGTACAACACTTTTAAATTGAAAACATTCTTTGGTGATCTAATTTCTTGCTTACTTTCTTTGAACATAAGATTTACTTGAAATTAAGCAAAAATAGAAAATTTATTTCTTATAATATATTATTACATGAAATTGTCATAGCTATCAAGGACTTTTTTCATGACAATTTGAACAAGATCAACATCAATCATAGTGACTCCTATAGTTGCTAATTCTGAATTGATACCTTGCATTTCAACAAAATATTGTTCAAATATTTTTTCTTCAATCATTATAATTTGAGATAATCTACTTTTTAGTTCAAATTTTTGATTATTCAAAGTGATTTCAAATATAGCCTTAAAAGTGTTCCATAACAACTTGGAATCCTCAAATGTTATCAAATTTTATAAAATCCCTAATTTAAAAGACATGATCATGATATACAACAATCTCTTTCTTTGGTCATTTTTGTTATGATCTTTTGATATTTTTTTCTTTTGAGGATTTGATACTGTGATCTTCAAGCAAGAACTAGAGCTTTTCTTATTTGGTAGTATAAGTCAACATGTATTTTTATAAGTAGAAATTTTTAGAAACTATCAATTTGACATCCTCTAGCAAAATGAAATCCTTTAACATTGCTAGGTATTTTAGTCTATGCTACAATAGATCTTAAAAAAATGGTTGTTTAGCTTGGTACATGAAAAGAATGAAAGAAACAATTTGATTCAAAAGAAACTGCAGAATATAGACCTACTTCAAAAAATGGCTCAACATTGGAGCTCTAATACCATATTAGAACTCTCGTTAAATTAGACAACTCATACAATTGTGATTGGAAAAAAAAACAATTGACTTAGGTTAATTGGATTGAGTACAATATTTATCTCTCCAAATTGTCACTTGTACCATGAAAACTAGTAGATAAAACCTTATCTTCTAGTTTACATTATTGATTATAGTAAATATGTGACATATGGTTTTACACTAACTTTATCCCCCAAGAATTCTTAAGATGAGAGACTCACATCCATTACAGGTGTGATGAGTACTGTTTCCATCCTTTCAAACAATTATAATTGTTTTATTTTCCAGTTCAACCAGAATTACCGACTGTTTCTCGGTTAACTAGGCTGCCAAATCTGGGGCTTAACTTCATCAGCAGCGTATGTCTTGATGGGTAATCAGCTTGTTTGGGTACCCACTATCTTTACATTTTCGCAATTGAAACCACTCTGAAGCTTTATCAGATCCTAATGCTTCAGAGAACCAACGGCGGTCTTTATGCTTCAATTCTAAGGCACGAATATTTTTTTTCCATGGCATGAATGTGCTCTCAAAATTTACCCAACCTGCCTTCTCTAACAAAGTCAACTCATAGCTCTTTTACCTGACAATGTCATTACCAATAGCCAACCTATGCCACATGCAGATCAATTTTGATCTCAACATTTGTGGAGTCTGTCATGATTGACTTTGCGGGTTTCGTGAGTCCTTGGGTGCAAGCTTGAAGACATTCAGTCGACCATGTCGACGTGGAACAGAACCGTTCCAGGTTTCTGAGGTCTCCCTACGAAAGAATATTGTGGACTTCTTCTTCGTGGGGCAACCACGCCTGGCAACCTCGGCAAGCAGCAGGGATTCGCACCATTCTAGTCCCATGTTCGGCCAGCCCATTCCCTAACCCATTACAAATGTGTCTAAAACAGGTTTGTTTGATTGTTTTTGGCTGGTACTGCAATTTGGATTCTTGTTTGTGTATTTGATAAAGCATTTTACACCCGGAGTCAGATGATTTGAGAATTTTCGGTCTTCATGTTGGATAATGTTAGGATTAATTGTAAAACGTACGATGAACTAAGGCTACTTCAGAAGGAAAAGACCCCAAAGATATGACTATGGAGATGTCTCATTGCAGCAAGTATCTCCTACTCGCTGCCCATAATCTGAACCTATAATGCCACGGAGATGGGAATAAGACATACTGCAAACCTTCTTATAAACTACTTTCATAAATTACGACTAATTCACCAGAATGTACATGACCAGTGAAAGATGAGCAGAAAATAGAAAAATGGCTTTCGCATACAGAGCCACTGAATTGTTACCTCCTGTAACCCTTAAAAAGAGAAGATCTACAACGACAATATATTCTTCTTACAATGGGTTGCAGAAAACTATTTACAACGTCGATTCAGTTTCTAAAAAAAAATCTTAGGGGTAACTAATGAGACTGAATCCAAGTTCAATCTTCAATCTTTATTTCAGCACAACAGCGGCATTTCGAAGAGAAAGGTAGCCTTGAATTTGCTCATCCGGTAGAAATCTAATCTTCTTGAACACCTCCGCATTGGAATAACGCAGCTTGGTCCTCGGATCTGTGTAAGGTGCCTGCATCAAGACAGCCGCCATCCACGCACGTTAGTCTTAAGCTAAGAAACACCTACGATTGACGAAGCATCTCAATTCAAACCATCCTAATATTAGTAACTTGTACACAACAGACATCAACAAAATGCAGGCTTACCTCGAAACCAGTGATGTCGCAGTATTTTTTTGCGGGATACATAGAAGGTGGAGCTTCAATGCTTACATCTGAAAAATCACATGTAACCAAAAATTTCATGTTATTCAGACTGTCGCAATCATCAAAAGTAACAGCAACAACCCTGACATACTTGCCAACCAGCAATCCTTTCAGACTACACTCGATCAAATACAATTCCTATGAATCAAGCGAAAAATTACACACGTACAAGAAGGCTCATCTGCAGGATGCAAATGATAATTCTCAGCCTGGATGATCTGCTTAAGGTGTTTCCAGTGCCGCCCTCGAGAGTGACCCTTGGGATACCGGTCAGTGAGCTGCGTTCGCTTGAATGGCAGCACGGAAGGCAACAGCAAATCAGGATCGCTCAAGTCCGCGACGCTCACCATCGAGCCTCCCGCCGACGAACTCCCCGGCTCTTTTCCAGAGCTGGGATCTCTTCTCTGCAACCAATCACCATTATTGATCGTGAAAAAGAAAAAGAAAATTTTGCTCATTAACCCTAACAACAACGCTCAAAAAAATCCTAAAGACTCTCCAAATCCATTCGTGAAACCGTCTCAACGCCGCTCGCTAACATCACAACTCGAGCGACAAAACCCTAAATCCATGAAACCAGTAACTCGTCAAGCGAGAATAGCTCCCACCCTGCAGTAATGGAAACAACGTGAACGTCGAAAGTATGAAGAAATTGAGACTGGCGATTGACAGGTAGAGGCAACGCAAATACAGAAAGCAAGAGAGAGAGAGTGAATGGAACCTGATTGCTAGAGGCATCCTTGGCGGACTTGGTAGCTAAGGCAGCCATGGCGTTGCGATGCGGCGACGGGAGGTGTCGGAGACTGAGCTGAAAACCATCGCAACACCTTCAAATCCATGGCACAAGAGTCTAAAGGCCGATTGGCTCTTATGGTACCCAACTCACAAGCACGACTGGAGTTTGTTCTTGTAGTTGTGATTTTGAATTCTTGCATCCTTTTACGTACACTATTACATTCGTTACAATCTTTGGAAAAATGATTTCAGCAAATATATATACATACATGTATGTATGTATGTATGTATGTATGTATGTATAGTATGACAAAAAATTCTATCATCATAGTGTTTATTTAAACAAACAAATATGTCAGTTTTTTGGTTGCATCAATACAACAGTATTACATCTCGTTCTAAAAGAATATTGATATTCTCAAATAGTCTATAAAAGTGTTAATTGCTTCAATTGTAGTTATAGTATGATATGATGTAATTAAGTTTTAATTTATTTTTAATTATTTTAAAATAACTTGTTTAGTATTTATGACTTTTTATTAGATGGGGTTGTATAATTAATATTTTTTGTTTAAATTTTAACTCTTGATATTTAAATTCAAGTTTATATTCTATATATATATATATATATATATATATACATATATACATACATACATACATACATACATACATACATACATATATTTTTCTCCTAATTTTAATGTGATTGATATAAAGTTGTTATTTTATTAGATAAAATATTATATAGTTGTTGTGATATTTAATTTATGCTTAGAAATATATTAGATTGCATGGTTCTTTGTTGTTTGAGTTTAGATTGTGGAACTTTTTTGACTTGGTTAATTAATAGAATTAGCTAAACAAATGACATATATTGTTAATGGTTCAATTTTTGTATATTATGACTTGTATAATACATTAGCATTGATAATTATGAATTTTAAAATATAAATAAGTATATTTTATCTAATTACTTATATATACTATACATACTAGATAAATTTGTATTGTATATATAAGTAATTAGATCAAATTGACTAGTCTTTGAAGCTAGTGCTATACAATTTTAAAATACAACAAATCAACACTATTGAATTTATTACTAAGTTTTATTTATTTATTTATAATCTCAAGATAGTTTAAGATATGAAAAAAATAAAATAAAAATTTATTACATAACTTTTTCAGATTTTAAACTACAAATCAAAGAATTTTCAAAATACAATATTATTCTTAAAACATCTATAATAAAGACTACAACTGGATTTCAGTCCATGTAGGTTAAAATTTAAGGTAAGAAGTAAGGTATTAATTCATGTTATTTATATTTACTTATTTATTATCATTTTTAAAATTTTAATAATAAAAACCATGTTTTTATATTTTTGTTATATATTATTGTTTATAACCATCTTCTATAGCATAATATATTTAATATTTTTATTATTTTTATTTAAAATAAAAAATTTAATATTAATGATTTATTTTCTAACTAAAAATGTAATTTTTTTTATTTGGTTTTAATTAATTGCTTTTTCTTTTGAATTTCTGTTTAAAAAAATGCTTACTATTGTAAAATGTTGTATTGTTATATTTTATTGTATGCATTGTAACATAAAATATAAAATTTTATGTATATCATTTTTTTATTTTATTTATATATTTTTTAATAAGGCCAAAACATCATTTGATACAAAAAATAATTTAGCAATAAAAAATTTATTTGATAGAAAATTAACCAATCTTATTGGTGTTTAAATTATTATTTTTTTATTAGAAAAGAAATGAATTCATATTAGATTCTATCTTGAAAAGAAAAGAAAAGAAAAGAAAAGAAATATAGTATTGATTTAGTACTCAAGAATCTCATGTATTTGAACTAATAAGATTGAGTAGATTATGCATAACTAACAAATTTTAATACTAATATAACAACTTATTTTTGCAACCAAATCATACTCAATTAAGATGATTTGTCCAAAAAAATGGACAAATTGTGGATTTTATTAAGTAAATTGAAAGATGATTAAAAAAAAAAAAAATTATATAAAGAATAAATCATATATATATATATATATTTATATATGTATAGGCACATACATAATACTAAAAATTGGTATCTATCTTTGAAATTCATTGATTTGCTAAAATATAGTTTTATTTTTTTAAAAATTGCTATAGAAACAAAAAATATTTATAATCAAAATTTTAAAATCAATATATGTCAAAAAATGATTTATTATCATATAAATTGACACATTGATTGTGCAACCATGTACCATTAATATCATATTGTTGTAAAAGCCATTATTACCATGAAAAGGTTTTTAGAATTTGTAACCAAGAGAAATCTATTTTACCCTATTATATCTAATTCTATTCAACCAATCAAGCTTTCATTTGTTTTTCCACACATGCTCTTAAACATCCATCTATCTAGAATGAATAAACATAATTATTTATTAGAAATGACTTATTCTTCGATGAATCTATCATTCTTATTATTATTAAAATTATGGTGCATTTTAATGTACAATTTCACATCATAATAATTTAAAAATAAGATGTATAAATGTTAGATCATTCATAATGTGGTTTTGAATTATTTGAAATAAAAAAAATTTAATAACATGAATTTAATTTAAAATATATTAGTTCAAATACATACTAATTTAAAGTAAATTTTGAATTATAATATCATAATAACTATAAATGGATAGAAATACATAATTTTGTTTTTTTGAATAATATAGTATAAAAAGTTTCTAATCTTTAAAGCTAATATGCATTAATTATTTTTGTACCCAATTTGGCAAGTATTTATGCTAAAAATCCTTTTTGATAATAATTATTATTACATGTAAATTAATATTTAATTACAAAATTAAACTCACAATATGAATTTATTAATTTTTTTAAGTTAAAACTTATAAAGTGGATTTAACTAAACTTAAATAGATATTTATTTATGGTGAAACAATTCACCAACTAAAATTTATTATTAGATAATTATAAACCTAAGTTGATTGGTGAAATAGTTTACTAAGTAAATTTATATAAAATTTAGTGGTATTGCTTGGTAAATCTTAGTAGTAAATTGCATTGAAAGTTAATTTTTTTTATTTTTATTTATTAGGATTCATTAAAATAGTAACAATTAGGATTCCACTATCTTGTGCTTTATTTATTGAAAATGTGACCAATTAAAAACTGATACTTTTTGGGCTAATGCTTTGTCTCATTTGCTCTTTTTCAATCTCAAATTTTAGCAATTTAGGTGATATAAACTTCTTTATATGCAATTAAATTTAAAATTTTATGAAAAAAATAGAAAATAAGATTTTGCATATGTCAATGATTTTTTTAAGATTATGTATGTTATTTATATTATTATATAATTATAATAAAAATAGTGTTATTCTAATTTTATTTATTTATTTACTAATTATTTTACAACCTTCAAAAGAAATCTTGGTTAACTTTGTCAAAGTATAGAGAGCAATCAATGATATGCAAAAAGTACTGTTTATAATTCTTTGAGCTTTGATTGATGTTTGAGCTTATTAAAAAATAACCTCATGCCAATTTTTTTAAAAAAACGCTGATTTACAACACAATTTATATAAGCACTTTTGTTTTAAAAATCTAGAATAAAAATAAAAAGCCATGTCTTACCTCTTAGTTGGTAATCTAATATTTTACTCTAAGTCTTAAATTTCTTTCGATTTATTTGTCCTTTGTAACTCATGTATAAGAAATATCATGTTATAACATATTTTCTAAACTTTTAGTAATACCAAATTCTTAGATAAGAGTAAAAATTTGAAAATTAGTCTAAAGAAATTTGATTATAGCTTATGGATTGAATCTAAGAATCTCATTTTGAAGTATTTTTATTTAGACATGTTTATTGAAGCACATTGTGCAAGAGATAAAAATTGCCTATGCATTTGATTCTATGTGCAATAAAGAAAATACTTCTTTGTAATTAAAATTTCTTATTTGTAATTCATTTAATACATAGGTTTTTTTTTGCATCAAAGATCTATATTAAAAAAATGGCGATGTATTACTTTATAGCTAGTATTCTAATCTTTTCTTTTAGATGCAATAAATTTGGATGTCTACTCACAATGAGCTACACACCAATGACTTAAAATCTTTGGAGTATTTCTTTGGATCTTAATAGTAAATTTTTATCTTACCAATGCAAAAAAAATATTAAAAATCAATTTAGATGATAATGCTAAAATGCATCTTAGTTATTTCCTAGTTTCAAATTTTGGTAGCTTAGGCATTATAATGATCTTCTAAAATAAAAACATAAAAAAAAACAAGAAACAAAAAGATGAGATTTTGTTTTTTTTTTTTTTGTTTTGTTTTGTTTTGTTTTGTTTTGTTTTTTTTTTGTTTTTGTTCTGTAAATTCTTATAAAATATTTAATTTTATTTTACTTGCAATTATCTTTGCAATTTAGTTAAAATTTTTATTTTCTTAGTCTAGAATTTTGCATTTGAAGTGACAAGTTCTCTATTTTTGTTCTAGATTTGATATATACATGTTTGTTAGTTTTTATCAAATGTTTTTTTTTGCAAATTTACTTCAATGATATTAGGTATATGTAAAATACTTTTCTAATTAATCACCATTATATCATTAAATATATTGGTGCATTTATTATAAGAATCAATTATATTATACATTACTAAATATATTACATGTGCATTAATTTAAAACCAAACATACATATATGATACTTAATTATATAAAATATTGGTATTCATAGGAATATATGTGTATAAATTTATCTTTGTAGTCTACTTAATAATATTGGTATAAATATTTTTCTTATAATATCATATAAAATTTATGCCAATATAATATGAGTATTTTTATATATGTTCATTTTAAATATTATACCAATAGCTTATTCAATCTATCTAAGGATTTTGTATTTTATGAATTATTTATTTTTTTAAATATTGATGATTATCTTTTAATTTTTTTTATAGTTGTCACTAAAATAATTATCATAGTACATATATTCTTACTTAATTTTTTTTTGATAAAAACTTGCATAAAAAGACAAATAAAGATCTACTTTCAAAATACATATATTTTTATAATTGTATAGATGTATAGATT